CGGCTCGGCTCGGGCCCAAAAAAAGCCCGTTGTGATTTCCTCGAGCCGAGCCCGAGCCCAAAATTTCAGCTCGCGAGCCGGCTCGGCTCGTTTACATCCCTAACTTAATGTGATGAATAACGATTATATTTTTTATTTTAATGAGGAAAGAATGAGAAACAAACAGGAGCTAAATCTTTTATTTGTCTTTCTTTTGTTTTCATGCCCATACAAAACTCATAAATTGAAATCCCGTGTAGGAGAATTATAATGAATGGCTGTTTTTATACATAATTACGATTTTTTATTTATTCTTGGAAAGGCAATATACAGACTTGTGTAGAAAGCTGAAAATAAAAAAACAAAGTTATTCAATAAGTAAAAATCACTTTTGATCCTTTATCATTTAAATAATAATAATCACTCTCTCTCTCACCTTTAATTAACCTTAGTATTGTTCCTCAAATTCACCTTCGACGACCCATTTCATAGGACTCGCAACTTTTATCAATTTTTCAAACACATTTTTCATGAACTTTTTTATCAAAATATACTAAAAATATAATTTTTAACTAACCCAAACAGAAGCTTAGTTCAAGGACTACAAATTGAGGTCAATAAGCACACTGGTAAACCTTACAAAGACATTGTGGCTTGTTCAGTGCAAATGTATGGTATTCAATCCAAGAAACAATCAACAAAACAGATAACCAGAATCGCCAAAATAAATTAAGATGGGAACATGCAGGCAAATCCTGAAACATTTCCTAGCATCCTTGAGAATCTAAGATATAAATCCATTGATGCTGCAATAGAAAAAAGAAATACTAATATTCACGATCTTGAAACGAGAACTACCATAACATGCAGAATCAGCATTAGATAGAAAAAATGGTATCAATTTTATTGAATCAAATACGACATCTAGCTTGGTGAAAAGCACTGCCCACCTCTGAGTTGTCAGCAAATGAAGATCTCGAAGTTGGGACCTATGTTGAGGTAGTTAACATCAACTGCAACTTCCCCAAAATCATCTGACAGAGCAAGAAAATTCGATTATGTTTCATTCTAAGAATAATGATGAAGATATGTATGGCTTCCCAGTCTAGCAAGTTTAAAAGCCAATACCTTCATAGAGTGTCCTTGCAACATGGACATATTCAGGAATGAGATCTTGGTAAATGATTCCTTCGGGATGTGCATCCAAGACTACTAAAACTCCTGCCAACAAGAATATTAGGAAAAGAGATTGTGTAAATATGGTTATTTTGATACACCGGCAATTTACTTTAAAAAGGGAGAGTAAGATGCTTGTTTTTCCTTCCTCCTCCTTTTTGTTTTGGATTGATTTCCTGCCTGTATTTCCCAGGGTCAGGCTTGATATTCCTTCTATTATACTACTTTATTCTAATTATTAAACTCGTACTGATAGTTGCCAAACCTCCTATACCTCATACAGCATGTTCGACTTCTCTGAAAAATGATATAAGACACCAGAAATATTTTCATATTGAATATGGTGTACTGAAAGAGAGTGATTATTGGTTCAACACTCAAAAAGAGTTTTGAAATGAGTTTTTTCCAGACTATATTTCCATTAGATGTGAATGAACGAAAACAATACTTTAGGGATTGAAGTTTCAAGGTTCATAACGTAAATGTAGCTTTTCTGGGATCCTCATATTCGGGCTTATGAATTTAAGGAGATGAATATTGTCTTTTCATGCTAAATCCAATTTAAGTGTTTGATTTCTTTCAATGGCTTAATCAGACTATAATTGCTTTTAATCGATATTTGCTGAAACTTGCTATATGAATATATTAAACATTACAGGGAACTTCTCATTTAGAATATGATATTAGCTATACGTCAACGAAACTGGCACCTTGCTTTGTGCTTAAGCCACAAGTTACCTTAGAGCCTCCACAGTGATTGTGCATATCAAAAATAAATTTAGAACCACCACCATGAAGCAATAGATGGATCTTGTCCACCAGTTAACCAAGTTCGGCCCCTATATGATAGCTAAAACGGCCAATTTGAAACAATACTCGTTACAGGTTTGTTGTGAAAAGCAATTCCAAACAATTCTGAATGCTTGCTCAAGGAAACATCCCTGTAACTGGAGATTTTTCCCCCCCCTTTTTTTTTCGGCTGTTGAATAAAAAGTTATAGTTTATTCAAATCTAGGGAAAATTTTCACTATCCAATATAATTGACTTGTCTTAGTACAGAACTTACCCACTAATGAACAAGGGAGAAGTACCTGGTGCCAACCATGATTTTGTAGAATTACTTGGCAATGGAGCAAGCCATAAAATATTTCTTAAATTCATTCCATCATCGTAAGGAACGTTAGACCCTGTGAACCATCATTAAAGGCACTGTCAATAGCAACACAGAAATCATATAAACATTGCAAATCATTCTATTCCTTCCATTCACAGACCTAATAATGCAGCCAACAAGAAATCACAAGAAGATTAGAAAGATACGAGTCCAAAATGAAATTAACCACGGATAGTTTTTTTTTTTTTTTGATGATTGTCTAGCAGGAATGTTAGAGACGTACTAATTAATGACTCATAGATGGAAGATAAACCTTCTATGCATGTAAAACATTTAATTTATGAAATATTTGTTCAAGATGTTTGCTAAGCCAAACTTACCCACTTGGCAGTAGCCCATATTGTATGGAAAAACTTCTTTATCATATGCGGGGTACTCTTTAGCATGAAACCTGCAATTCAAAACTTGTGATGGTGAACATGTCATAGCATAAATTTTGAAGTAAAGCAGTAGTAGCAAAAACAGTGGCCAGAATATATCTTTGCACAGTTACTGCTCTCGGCTAAGCCACAATTTTTTAACTTTGACTACCATTTCAAGCTATCTAATTATCTCTGACTTCAATATCGAAGCAGTGGTGCTTTCAGGGAAGCATCTTTTTAGCCCATAACTGCTAAAGCACCAACACTTTGAATGCTACACATTCTCAGACTATTGTTCTCTATTGCAATAATAATATACATTCCATACACTGCAAGCAACATTTTTGTTCCACATCAAATCAACTTTTATGTTATCCTACACTAGGCATTTCCAAATTTGCATGAGGTCTCAAACTTCCACACTTAGTGCAAGCAACTTTAATCGTTGCAGCATCCATTGTAATTTAACACCCACCAAATCTCAAGGGAAATATAACTACAGGAAAATGACCATAGAAAGTGAGATAACCTGATGCAGAGGTGTTGGTGAATGAAACTTATCAGAAGAAGAATATAAATATTCTACGAACTTAATTCCAGATTAAGAAGGGGGGGGGGGGGGGGGGGGGGGTTAAAAAAAAAA